CTGAAGTATGAGAGACGAAGTTTGGCCATCTTGGCCTCCAAGGAGCACTCTGGCTGCACTTCTTCCAAAACGGATCTATTGGCTCTTTTGGCAGCCATGGCACTTTCAATATTCTCCTCCAACACCATAACTCAAAAGCATTAATTCTTCTACTGTCTTCCTTCTTCACTGTCCAAGTTTTGCATGCGTATGAGGTTACTGAAAACACCATGGACCAAGATAACTAGTTGTGATTATTTTGTCATTCTTTCCTCCCCACACATTTCTATTTTTACTCTGTAGTTATATATAATCATTATATATACACATTTCTATATTCTGCCTTCTTTGCACTGAACACATATAATCATTTCATTAACATTTCAAGTAGCTGTCTAATATTGCATAAAGTAGATTCATCATAATGTATTTAATGTTATCACTATTATTACATATTTAATCTGTTTCTATTTCATTTACTAATGGAGCTCTGGTAGCCGAATCGGGCTACAAACCTCAAGGTCAGCAGTTTGAAACTACCAGCTGTTCCATGGGAGAAAGATGAGGCTTTCTGATCCTGTAAAGATTTACAGCCTCAGAAACCCTGTACAGGGTCACTATGACTCAGAACTGACTCCATGTTCAAAACACCACCACCACCAATTCATTTTCTAGCACAAATAATGCAGAGATGATGACATTTGCTTATTCTTTTTCCATATTTTGAATTTTTCCTGAGAGTTGAACTAGTATGGTATGATAGAAGTATGGAGTCCTGCTGTGAACTAGGTGAACTAGTATAGTATGATAGAAGTATGGAGTCCTGCTGTGGCAATGTGGGATAAAGCACTGGGCTACAAATCGGTTTGAACTACAGGGTCTGTGGTTCAAACTCACCAGCCACTCCTTGGAAGCCCTATATATAGGGTTGCTATGAATTGGAAATGACTCAACGACACTTAACAACAGCAGCAACAACAACAATGCTGAACGTCTTCCCACCTGCTTGTTAATTCTCTGTCTTACATCAAGTGTGCTCATATCTTTTGCTCACTTACCTGTTGAGTCTTTAATGCTTTACTTTCAAATCTCTGTGTTAAATAATAAAAACATTCAATCTTTCACTTATTTGCTGAAAATACATTTTCAATTTTTAAAAACCTGTTGTTATATTTGTTAAATATATGAGAAAAAAACTTAAGTTCAAACCCATTGACTTTTTTCTTTGAAGTTTCTCTACTGCTTTTGAGCTTAAAAAGTTATTATACTCCAAAGAATTGACAAATGTCCTACTCTTCTTGAGAAACTTTTTTGAGTTTAACTCTTCAATCTGTCTGGCAAATACATTAGTGCGTAAGAATAGTGTATTTTAGCACCCTGACGTCATACTACCTACTTCCCTTAACCACACTGACAGAATTGAACACTGTAATTTCCCCTGTCTCATGATTAGTGACGCATCTTTTTTTTATTTACTCTCTTAATCATAACACTATAGCCTTTGGTGAAAAAAAAGATCTATTTCTCAACTATTTTGTTTCAGTGAGTTCTCTCTCTTTTTTAAAATTTTTTGCAAGGAGCATACCACACTATTTAAATGAAAGACAATTTTACATTATAGAGTTTACTATCTGGAAGAGCTAATGCCTCTCTTTCCTATTACTTATAATAATGTTATGAATCTGCATGACTCCATATGATAAGCACTTGACTTCAAACCAAAAGGTCTGCTGCTTGAGCCCACCAACCATCTGAACCATGTGAGAAAGATGAGGCTTTCTGCTCCTGTAAAGATTTACGGCCTCGAAAACCCTATACAGGAGTTGGAAGCAACTCGATGGCACTTACAACAATAACACAAATATATATAGTATTCATGGGAGGTGATCTAAAAACAACCTTCCTTCTATGGGCCCGCATGGTTTGCTTACCTATCATGGGTCAGTTGTTGAATGAGCTCCTGCCAGTGTCTACTGGCACTGAGATCTACTTTGTACATTCCTCTGATATGCTGAATCACCTTTTTCCTCTCAATTCCTTGGGAAAGTGACACAGCCTGGGTGATATCTGCAGCTATTTTCGATATATCCTTCGATTTTGAATCTAGACGCTGAAAGAGACTAAACATACAACAACACTGTTTATCAGCTAAGTTTATCAGAACATTAAATGTATAGTGAAACATGATACTTCAATTACTAAAAGTATATGTGAAAACAAATGGATTTCTAAATGTCATGAAGTTTAGAAAACATAATCCCAGTCTTAGTTACCTAGAAGTGCTGTAACAGAGCTGTCACAAGTGGATGGCTTTAACAAACAGAAATCTACTTTCTGACAGTTAGGAGAGAAGAAGTCTGAATTCAGGGCTCTGGCTCTAGGGGGAAGGTCATGGTCTTTACAGCTTCCGTTTCTTGTCTCTTTGGTGGCCTTCATCCATCTTTCCCCATCTCTGCTTGCTTGTTTCATCTCCTTGTATCTCAAAAGAGGCTGATTTAACACACTGTAGCCTAAGGAGCTCTGGTAGCATAGTGGTTACGAATCAGGCTGCTAATAATCTCATGGTCCACAGTTCAAAACTACCAGCTGTTCCGCAGGAGAAAGATAAGGCTTTCTGCTCCCGTAAAACTTTACAACTTCACTATTATGCAGGTTACTATGAGTCGGCACATCGACTCGACGGCACTTAACAACAACAACAATGAGTCGGCACATAACAACAACACGGCACACAACAACAATAACAGCTTAGAGTCCTAGTGTGGCACTGTCAGTCGGCTTGGACCAAAAGGCCAGCTGTTCAAACTCACTAGCTGCTCCTCGGAAACCCTGTACAGGGTCACTGTGACTCGGATGCCAACTCAAAGGCACTTAGTAACAGTAGTCGCCTGGAGTCTTGGTGTGACGCTGTGGGTTAATGCACCAGTCTGCAAAGCCATTTGAACTGCAAGGTCAGTGATTCAAGTTCACCAGCTGCTCCTCAGTAATCCTATACAGGGTTGCTATGAGTTGGAACCGACTTGATGGCACTTAACAACAACAACAACAACAAGGCTGGCCTCATTAGTATAACAAAGGAAATCATTTCCAAATGGAATTGAAACCATAGGCATAGAGGTTAATATTTATAACATAGATTTTGCTGGGGGGGAAGGGGAGATGACACACAATTCAATCCATAACAATATCTTACCTTTGTTGATTATTATTAACTGTTTTCTGCCAGGCAGCTTTATTCACACCTTCTTCAGTTTCATATTTCTTTTGTTCCTAAAAGATTTAGAAAATAATACACCATGGTCATTTAACATTGGCACGAAGCTCAAAAAACTAATTTAAAAAACTAACCAAGTACAAGAAAAAAATACTGACTCCAGGGACCAAAATAAGAAAACTTCTGAAACAATATTAAATTTTCTTTTGTTTTCCTAGAATTTGGGTCATGGAAATTAGAGTTAACCACGGATGAAAACCCGATGGGTCTCTTTAATTGCTTCTTCTATTTGCTTTTTCATTAAAGAGCCCAAAACCCAAACTTCATTCTTCAACTTGCTTGTCACTAAAACATACATGCCACTAAGTATTTCCAACACTAGTGAAACTGATACGGATAAAAATGACAATACAAAATCAAACTGTCCTTAAAATAAGCCTTAAAACAAACAAACAAACAAACTAGCAAAAAATCTCAGAATAAAGCAATATGATATAAATTTTTTTTTAAAATGTAAAGTTCATCTTCCAACGATTCTTTCATGATAGCCAGTGAGATCCTCTGACTCACCTCTTTGATTATCTTAATAAGGTCTGACTTTGTTGCAGCGCTGGGAGGGATGCACTTGGGGCCACACAATTTTAAAGCGCTCATAAGCAATTCCGCCATGTCTAGGTCCTCCTTAGTCAGCTCATCTTGGTGATTATGGATCAACTCTGACAAATACAAAGCTAACTTTGCTCCATGCTGTTGAAATAAAAGATAACAATTTCATTTAGTAATAAAGAATTTTAATTTTTTACTTAATAGCTATTGTTGTTATGTGCCGTGGAATCAATTCCAACTCATAATGACCCTGTATAGTGTTCCTGAGACTGTAAATCTTTATGGAACCAGAAAACCTTCTATTTTTCCCATGTGGAGTGGCTGGTAGATTAGAACTACTGTTCTTATAGTTAGCAGCCCAATTCATAATCTACTAAACTACCAGAACTCCTTATAGTAAATTGTTGTTGTTAAGTGTCAAGTCGGTTCCCACTCATAGTAACCCTGTATAGGGTTTCCGAGGAGCGGCTGGTAGGTTTGAACCACGGACTTTGTGATTCAAACCTACCATGAGGTCGAGTGCTTATCCTACAGGGTCACCCCAGAAGCTAGATAATTAGAAACTAATTCTTTTCCATTTTCATTGCAAAGAAGCCTAAATTAAACTAGTTTTCAAACCTATTTAATGACTTCTGGTGTGGCTCTGTAGGATCAGCACTGGACTAGGAACCACAAGGTCGGCAGTTCAAACAAACCAGGTGCTCCCCAGAAACCCTACACAGGGCTGCAATGATTCGGAATTAACTCGACAGCACTTAACAACAACAACTCTACTTAATGAAACCATTTCTCAAACCTAACTTTTGGATAAATTTATATTAAATCTTATAAGTGAGAGGGATGTAAGTTTATCATAAAATTGGTGCTGAGTAACTTTCTTGATTCAAAGAGTGTTGTAGAAGTTGAAAATCTCCAAGGAATTGGTGGTTTGGATCTCCCTCTCCTCTTTGCTCCCCTCGTACCCTCGCTCCTTAGATTGGCACAGTTCACACTATCGTGGTGTTGCTACTGATTCACAATGATTCCACAGGGCAGAGTATAACTGCCCACAGCGTTTCCTAGGAAACAGGACTTCTCACCACCTTCACCCAGACACCAGTCTTAGCATCACTACTGGTGGGACCATCAGACATGGATTTCTTGATGGGATGCAACATAATATACAAAGAATCACTTATCAAGTATTGTTGCCAAAAATAGTTGGGCTGAATTTAATAAAGTCTTCAGGTCAAATGCCTGTTTATAGGCAATACAGGAGATAAAGGGCCAAGTTAAATGACATCACGTGGAAGCAACCAGATATATTCAGAAGTTGGTTCAGTCTCTTCAACAAGACAGTGTCATGGAAAAACAAGTTTCTGTGCGGATTATTCCAAAATAAAAGAGATCTAAGAAACATAAATCAAATGAAATGCAAACCAAACACCTGAGAACACCGGGCTTGGGGAATGTCTAGGTCAGTTGGCACAACATAGCCCACAAAGACATTGTTCTACATTCTACTCTGGTGAGTAGCATCCTGAGGCCTCAAAAGCTTATGAGATGTTGGCTAACATGCAACTAACTACTGGTCTCTGCCTATCGGGAGCAAAGAAAAGTGAAGAAAGTCAAAGACTCAAGTGGACTCCAAAGGACCAATGGAACACACAAAGTACAGCCTCTGCTAACCTGGGTCCAGAAGAACTAGATGGGAGATGGGACCTGGCTAGGCTACACTACTGATAGCTCTGGTGAGCATTACAAGAGATGGACCTAGACAGAGCAGGAAAAAAATGTAGAACAAAATCCAAAACGATAAAACAGACAAGACACACTGGTCTGCCAGAGACTGGAGGGACCCCTACTACAAAGACCTTTGGACTCACCGCAGATCTGAAACTGAACTTACCCTGAGGGTCACCTTTCAGTCAGACAACAGACAGGCCATAAAGGGACCAATCACACCTGTGAGGAACTTACTTCTCAGAACAACTAACCACAGGAGACCAAAGGGTAGTTGTTGTTAAGTGCTGTCGAGTCGATTCCGACCCACAGTGACCCTGTATAGGGTTTCCAAGGAGCGGCTGGTGAGCTTGAACCACCGACCTTGCAGTTGAAAACAAAGTTCAGAAGGCAGGAAGGGGTGGCAAGAAGGAATGATGGTGATGGTGAATCCAGGGCACAGCTGGAGAGTGCCGTTATGCCCAGGGGTTTGCAACGAATGTTGTGAAACAAAATCGTATAAATTGTTGAATGGGAAACTAAAGTGCTGTGTATTTTTTACCCAAATCACAATAAAATGTTCACACACACACCAGAATTTAGAGGTAAAATGTCAGGATGTCTATCAGTTACTTTAAAATACTTCAGAAAAATAAGAATGAAACCAATATGAAAAAAATGAAACCAACATGAATAATTGTTAATTCTTGGTGATGGTTATCTGGCATTTAATATACTATTCTACTTTCATTTTAAGCGTGAAAATTCTCACAGTAAAAGGTACAGCAGCAAGAGAGCTTTAGAAGAATTATGGCGGTAGGAGTGGTGTGCCGCCGAGTAGGTTCTGACTCACAGCGACCCTGCACAGGGTTTCCCAGGCTGTCAATCTTTACAGGAGCAGAAAGCCTCATCTTTCTCCCGTGGAACAGCTGGTAGTGTCCAACTGCCGACCTTCAGGTTAGCAGACCGACTTGTAACCACTATGCTACCAAGGAAGCTTCTGAAGAAGGAATTCTAGAGAGGAATAATTCAAGGGAACAAACTTGGGATAAAGAAAAATAATTCTCTTCTCACAAAAAACTGGTCTGGAAGGGAAACCTGTGACGAACAGAATAATCCATGTGGCAGAGATTACATTTTCTTGTAATGTGTACAGTAAGTATTATTACTTAGAAGTTAATTTTGCCAACAAGTTAAATATGCATATTTCATTTTTAACTTCTGCATTGATACCTGTTCCATTGCATTTGGTTTAATGGAATTTTAAGATCTGAATTTAAATGTATTTAAATGTCAACAAATGGATCTGGAAGCAATTACATTTTGGGTGATATTTAAATTAGCACGCAGAGTCACACTACATCATTCCCCAAAAGCACAGAAGAGCATATGCAATGGTAAAAACAGCAAATATCATCTTAATAAAACACTTTAAATTAGGAGACACTGCTACCTGAGCACAAGAGGAAAATGAACGGATGCTCAGTGAGTAAAAGGCCTGAAGAGTTAGCCAATAAGGAATAATGCTAAATGACTAGAATGCTTTCATATATGTGTGTCTTAAAGGTGATGTGCTTCATGCAACTTTAAACATACTTCAGTATTCAATGACATTTAAAGTCATCTCGAAGAACTATCTAAAACATTTTTATTCATTTTGAATATCTAAAAAAAAAACCCATGATTTTCTCAAACCTGAAGTTGTTGATAATATCTCATTTTAGCAATCAAAGTAATCATTTATGCCTTGTAATAATCTATTTATTGCTTATAATTCCTGGGATTATAAAATGTACTATTATAGATGGTAGTGATGGTGTGCCCTCAAGTCAGTTCTGACACATAGCAGGCCTGTATAGGATTTGAGAGGCAGTAAATCTTTACTGAAGCAGAATTATGGGTGGTGGTGGTGCCGCAGAGTCAGTTCTGACTCATAGCCACCCTGCATAGGGTTTCCGAGGCTGTAAATCTTTTATGCGAGCAGAGAGCCTCATCTTTCTCCCATGGAACAGCTGGTAGTTTGCAGCTGCCAACTTTGAGGTTAGCAGCCCAACTCTTAACCACTACGCTACCAGAGCTCCTTAGAATTATGGACAGACATAAAAATACTTATTTTTGGTTTTAGTTCTCAAGGAACTGGCTTAAAGAACTGAATCTATTAAACATGAATTCTTAAAACATATAAAATAAACTGGTCAGTGAGGGTTATAAGAAGGAAGAGTTCCAAACACATTGAGGAGAGTTCTGAAGGAGGTAGAAACAGAGCTAAGTGTCTGGAGCAAGGATAGAGTGGGATTCAAATGGGCAAAAGAGAGGAGGGGGTGTGTCATGCCAGTGGACAACGTCATCAGGCAGCATGAATCGCCAGGATGTGGAGGTGAGCATAAGATAAGCATGGCACTATCTCCAACCCTGGATGAAGAGTTACAGAGAGGATAATCCATCAAAGTAACAATAGAAATGAAGACCAGGGCTTTAAAAATTAGATTACAAATGGAATACAACTTTGACACAGCTGTAGGATTCCTGATATGACATTGTAGGATAAGCACTGGATTGCTAACTGCAAGGTCAGCAGTTCAAACCCACCAGCTGCTCGTCAGAAACTGTATACAGGGTCACTGTGAGTTGGAACCAACTTCATAGCACTTTACAATAACACCACCAATGCTGTAAAAAGGAATGAGGAAGACCTCCATATGTGGGGTCTTTAAGTTTATAGAAAATATGTATTATGCAAACACTATGCATAGACTTTTTTTTTTTTTTTTAAACAAAATAAACTCATACTAATTTGTCATGAATAGCAGAGAAACACTGACAGATATAGTGCCGGAAGGCACTCAAAATGCAACTGGGGAAGAGCTGCCTCCTCAAAGTAGAGTTGACCGTGATAACACGAATGGAGTAAAGCCCGTGGGAGAAAAGCCCGCGGGACCTTCATTTGCTGATGGGGCACAACTCAGAATGAAGAGAAACAGCCGTAAACATCCACTGAAAATCGGAACATGGAATGTATGAAGTATGAATCTGGGAAAATTGGAAGTTGTCAAAAATGAAATGGAATGAATAAACATCGATATCTTAGGTATTGGTGAGCTGAAATGGACTGGTATTGGCTATTTTGAATTTGACAACCACATGGTTTACTATGCCAAGAATGACAAATTAAAGAGGAATGGAGTTGCATTCGTCATCAAAAGGAACATATCCAGATTAGTCATGAGGTACAACGCTGTCTGTGATAGGATAATAATGGGGCTGCGAACCTTAAGGTCAGCAGTTCGAAACTACCAGCCGCTCCACGGGAGAAAGATGAGGCTTTCTACTCCCGTAAAGATTTACACCCTTGGAAACCCTGTACAGGGTCGCTATGGGTCGGAACCGACTCGACGGCACTTAACAACAACAACAACAACAACAGGGAAGGCCAGTTAATA